GTAATGGAAATGTGAATATAATAATTGGAAGTGGAAAATTCTGAAATCAACAATCAGAATTAGTAAAAGGAGTGTTGAGGAATTACAATGATGTCCTTTGAAAATTGTTCATGTAAAATGATGAAAGAAAGAACAATGCTACAAGCAAAATTATTGTAATCATCTATGAATTTTTTTCTTCCTTAATATAAATTAATTATCATAAATAATATATTACTTTATTTAAATTATTAACCTTCTTGTTTATATAGTATGATGAAGGAAATGATTAAAATTAATTTTGGATATATTAGAAACTTTGTTAATTAATTAAATTAATAATTTATTTATTTCTTAATGAGTGATGTGATTTTTAGAAAATAAATAGTTTAGATTTTATTTGCCACATACATTTAGACTCCTCTTCTTATATCCTTTTAGACTGCAGCTTTGCATAGGCCTACTGGGCAGCCTTACAGCAACACTTACACTTCCATTTTCACCTTTTCTCTTCCTGGTTTCAGGGAGTCTGGATAGTTGAGGATCCCTCTCTCGATAGTTCTTCCCGTGATAGGCTCCTTAGCATCATTGCTACCTCCTTTCGGTTTTCGTGGAATAATCAAAATGACGACGTCGATGTTTCTTCGATCTCAAGGAAAGCTCTGCCCACTGTCAATGACTACTTTGAGTCCTCCTACGACCCTAAGGGCCCTGTTGAGACCTTATGACTACCCAAAAGAAGAAGATGCTGCAAGACAATTTAGCCTATTACAAAACAAAAAAAAGAAGAAGAAAAATCAGTGATCTCCCTTTGTTTTCGGCCTCATGCATCCGCGGAAGCGATTCTTGTTCATCTGTCTACCACTGTCTCTCCTCCCATATATAATTTCCTCTAGCAGAATTCTTGTTATGTCTCCAACCCTAGTGTGCTTACTCGCATGCTGTTCTTCAAGTTCAGCAAAACATACTGGATTTTATGCAGTTCCAGCTCTAGCCTTTCTATCTTATCTGATTCCCTTCTTGCTTGTTCTGCAATTTGCCGTTTTCTCCGCTGCCACCATCTTCAGAGTTTGTGTCCATACTATCCGAGTTTTTCAACTTCTTGTTTGTATCAATTAGCTCAGTGGCAGCTCCTTCAGCATCATTTAACTGTGCATAAATTGTGTTATATCTTAAACTTGCAGGAAGCTTCCCCAGTTGAGAGCTTTCCATTTTCATCTTCAAATCCTTCACATTAGTTTCGAGATCTAAGAACTTCTGCAAGTCAGTTTGAAGCCTTTCGATGACTCTTTTGGCCATTCTTGTTGGGTTGCCAAAGCTCTATTCGGCATCTCTAACATGTCAACACTCGACTCCTTCTCAAACCACCAGCTCTGGAGAAGTATATTCACTTTTTTATTCATATGTAGATTCTGTGGATATTCACTTTTCCGGTTGCTGCAATCTCTTTCACCTGCATACCATAATTGATCATCAATTTCAATCGCCCTTGTATCATAAGAACAAATAGTCCTACAGTGCAAAGAACTTGACTCCTGGTCGAGTTTGTTATCTTTCGTCATTTGCCCCTGCCGATCTCCACATATCGAATCTAAGCTTTAACGGGCATTGCCCCTCCTAAGGGACTTGGCCACGTGGATCTACGTGTGCCATATTCACCTTGATCCTTGATGGGCGCATTTATTCAGTTGTTTGATGGGCGCTACTATTAGGCTGACAACACACGAGTTTAGTTCATAGTGGACTTTAATAATCGATAGCTCATTTTCCTTTTAATCTAACTCTAATCTAATAAAGGGGGTGCGGTTATTGTGAAAAATTAGGAGAAAAAACTACAGCAACAACGCAAAACTGCAGCAGAGGCAGAAAAATTATAGTAGTAACTTGATTAAAAAAAGGAGAAAATGACAGAAAAATAGGAGAAGGAAAGGGAAGAAGATAAGAATAATATAGAGAGACTATTCTCAATTATCCAGTATTCTTATCTCAGGTTAGATTATATCTAAAGTAGATTCTTGTTATGATTACTTGGGAAGATTTTGGATATTGCACAGTAACATAATCCTTGTATCCCAGTTATTCTCTTGAGATCGTTGCTTAGGTTTTGGACAAAAGATTCTGAGATTTGTATATTTATTATTCTTGTAGTAAATTATCTCTGGTTTGTCCCGTAGTTTTTACCTTTCACGTTGGAAGGGTTTTCCATGTAAATCTTAATATCCTATTTGATTATGATTTTCATTTAATTCTGTTATATGTTACGACCTGTTTGTATTTATTCGTATATAAACATTTATTTCTATTTTTATCCAATCAGCCACATAGCATGTCATGTTAGTCTAAGCATCCGACAACAAGACAATTAGGTAAAAGATCACCCAAGCACTATAAATAACCCCCAAACTCATTTGCACTCTTCACGCCTTCTGTCATTCTCAGAACCTTTAGGCCTTCGTACACTCAAACCTTTAGTATTTTAAAGTACTTGAATCATTCGGACTTTCAAGCTTAAAACAATTTTGAATGTCTTCCTCATATAGATTAACCCCTTCATCTGACTATAACTCGGATGATTCTTCGATCCCGTCATTGCCTTCGGCATCGATTTCCAAAACTTCATCCTTTAGTGAAGGGGTTGAGCGAGGCCTAGCTCATAGAGGCTAGAATCAGCCCCTCCCCTCGGGGTCAATATCTGAAATTGTTTCTCCCGCTTCTTTTGTTGAGTGTGTAGTGTGTACTAACATATCTCCTATGCATAAATGGATTTTCTAACAAATGTTTTCTTCTTTGTTAAGGCTTTCGAACCCCCCACCCCCCCCCCAATGCTGATGCAAGTAATAGATGGCTAATAGGTCCCTATCAACCCAATGGACCAAGGTAGTCACATGAAGCTAAAGAAGGGACGAGTCACCTTTGGAGATTCACCAGGTGGCTTGGGCTTTGACCCACAATTGGAATTAGGTTGATGAGTTCGGGGCACAACTTGGTATGAGACATAAAAGCTTCTATAGGCTCCATAGGATCATAGCTTCCCTCGTAAAGCTCAAGGGTTGGCATTCTAAAACCTATTGGCATTGGTTCCTCTATAATGCTAATAAAGAGAGACTTAAAGTAAGAATCAACTTCAGAATACTTTCCCTGCCTTATCTCTTTTTTTATATCCTCTAGCCTCTAGTCTATCTCAAAGAGTTAGACTTGCATCATGGGAGAGAGTTTGGCTGAGCGAGAGTTTGACTGATTGAGCAATTGAATCTCTCGGTCTCTCTACTTGTTGAGAGAGATATTGAGTGGATCATGAGGGGGGTGATCTAGATAATTATTTTCTGGAGACATATCAGCGGTAAGGGGACACAACTTTATAATTATTTAAGAATGTAACATATGTTATGATTATTGTTATATGCGTAGATCGAACAATCACATGTTAAAAATGTCATTAAAGTGCAGAAGTTTATACTCAACAAAATCATAAGGGTTTCTGTGTTTATTTATTGTTTCTAAATTAGCATTTGTTAGTACCCATGGTTCTTAAAATAATATAGGGTGAATTTTTGAAAAAAAAACCCATAAGTTTCATAATTTTCAAAATAACACCTCAAGTTTGAAAATTTCCCCTAGAGTATCACTTTTTTTTAAAATGACCATACTATTTATCTAAGTCGACCATCATCCTCTAGCTGAATTGTCGTCCCCCTCTATTGGACCCACCCAATGACTGAGGTATAGTAGCTGCCACCACATCCTGTTAGACCAACGATTGAGTGACCCTTGCCACCCTCACTAATGATGATGAGAGTTAAGGGCTAGGGCTATGCCAGAAATTTTGCTCTGTAAGAAATTATGAAACTTATATACTTTTTATGAGAATTCACCAAATAATATATAGTTTTATTCTTAATTAGGCTATGCCAGGAGATTGTAGATACTTGATCCATTAAATCAGCCTTTTTAAGGTGCCCGTCAATAATAAAATTGAGGAAAATTAAAAATCCAATCTCAACGAGTAGCAGAAAATAAAATATACTATAGGCTTTTTTTTCCTTTAATGTTTCATAAAGAAAGATTTTCTACTTTTAAAGCGATGATAAGATCAATTTTCACAACCAACAAACTAGAATTACACCAACAATACCTTTTACAGAATAAAAAGGGTGATCACACCTAAAGAAACTTAATCAAAGACTCACGATATTATCCTTAATAACAATGTTACAGAAGTATAGGTTCAATCAACAAAGACCTGATGCGATCCTCAATTACTCGATCGGATTTCCCATGTCCATCTCCGTATTGGTACATGCATTGGGCCATTCGAGGGATATTGATGAACATCATTTTCAGGTTTTCCTCAAATCGAGAAGTGAAACTTTGATCTCCGTTTATTGCTCTCCAATTTTTCCTAATCAATCGCCCGATATATTCACGAGCCGCATACTCCGATAAACTGCTCTCATGCATGCAGCACTGGATAGATTTGGACACATCGCCTCTTTCAAGCTCGTCCTGCACAAAAACAACCGATGCAGAGAGGAGAAACTGTGTGAACTCTTTATTGCCATGATTCCATGAACGAATGATAATTATGGTGCATTTCAAATACCTTGGAAGTACCCAAATCATCACAAAGTCGAAGGATCATGGATGACCGTCTTGCAATCTCAGGACAGCTGTGGAAGTCTTCCAAGGTATCTTGACTTACATCGTCACTGGTGCAATAAGCAAGGGTCAATATCAGGGGACCCGATACCGATAATAGTGCGTTCTCCAAGTACTCTTCAAGAATGGGTGTGTAGCCCTGGTGCTACCACCACCTTGCTTCCACCATGTATGCCTTGCATACATCTGCCCACTGAATCCAAGGGTTGCACTGTTTAGAAAGTGGAACTGAATGATCGATGATGCACAAAAGAGGGAGGATGGGATCGATATGTTAATGCTTTTTTCAGGTGTGGAATTATGTACAGACCCTTCTCTTTCATAACATTGTACGCGGTATCATTTGTAGTGTTGAAGAGGGCTATAAAACATATCTTCATGTACTCCGGAAGTTTGCCCGTTGCATTAACGTCCCATCTGCAACATGCATCAGAGTAGATGTTATCAGGAATCAGCGATCGTTGAAATTACATCTATTGCATTCATGAGGTGGAGTTCTTCATCACCTATCGACGGCATCCGTGAAAAGCTCGAGCTCATCCATGGTGCCGTAAACATCATACACATCATCTATTGTTGTTATCAGGCAGTTTGCCTTTGTCTGCACCTCCCTGCATCTTGCAAACTGTGGCTCAAAAGCCCAGCCAACCGTCCAGAATTAGTTCTCCATCAACCTGTCCCTCGAAAATGGAAGCCTCTGCGCCAGGCCAAGATTGCTCCACCATCTGATCGACAGCCAGAAGTTTGTGCTGAAGTTTGCTGATTCATGCACGAGAGCAGAATGTACATGACATGATTCAAGTAAAGCAAGCTCAAAATACCTCGACACTTCTCTGAGTTCCCTCTGATGTATGCTCTGAACCCTGTTGAAGTCCAACTTAGCCAATTCAAGCAGGACAGGGTTCATCTTCGCTTCCCTTTGGGATGCTTCTATGAACCACCTGGTCTGCAACCTCGGCATCCTCCAGTTCAATGGAAGCTCCAAGGCATGGGCTACGTGCTCCCTGAGATGAGGCTCAAGTGATCCCTCCGTGAGGCTCTTGAGCTGTTTAGTCGTAAAGTTTATAGCTTCTTCCAGCATGTGCTCTCCTTCCTGTGCAAGATGGGAAGCCTCGTACAAGCTCACCAATCCTTCAGTCTGGTGGCGAAGGCTGGCTTTCAAGTTGCCCTTCTCAACTATAAATCGGTTGAAGACACCTTCAGAACATCCACATAATTTGTGCATGTCAGATTGTGACACCATGGTAGAGCAGAATAAACACAAAATTCCAATAGTATGTTAAGCTATTAGCGTGGCATAATTGTATGATTAATTGGACATATTTCTAGTTGTCTCAGTTTTATGAAAGTAATTGTTCTAGCAATATATGAGGTACATCAGCGACAATGTTGTATCAGTCGCCAAGAAAGGAGTAATGCAGGATGGATATATAGCTTAATCACCTTCAGAAACAGCAAACCCATGTTCTCTGAGAAGCCTGAACATAAGAGCCGTGGCATGAAGATTATCCTTCAGCAACATGTTCACCTCTTCCATGGAACGGTATATTTTCCATAAAGCATCCTTAATATCCTCCTTAAAGTGATACGACACCCCAAGCTGCTGCAGGTGATCGATCAGTTGAAGCTGGTCCTCAATTCCCTTCTTCATGTAGATCAGTTGTTTCACGTCCTTCGTCAGTTTTCCCATCCTTCTTGCGTTATCCTCCTGCACCTAATGAAAGCTAGTGAGTAACCAGTGCGAACTATAGATAAAACTCAAGTTTACAGATTGCATGCAGACCGACCTTGGTGTCATTTCTTAGCGATTGGATGTATTCGTCACTCCACGAGCTTGGCTGGTAATTAGCCGATCGCCGAGGAGAAGGAATCTGTGCATTACACCGGGTTGGTAGTAGGAGGCATCGACGGGGTGAAGGCTTGGAGGGGGCAGTCCGCTGATGGGCACCGATCAATCTGCAGCAGAAGGAAGGAGCAGAAGCGCAGAAAGCCATTTGGCTCGGTGAACCACACTCAGTAGAAGATAGAGAATCTGATGGGCTTTGTAATGGCGGTGTTGGCGTTGGATTTATAGTGCCAGAGGCGGTGAAAACAGGATTCAGTAACGAGGTTCTCGTGCCTCTCGACCTACCTCCGACCACCGTAAAACGAGATTCACAAGCAGAATGGTAAGCGGCCACCAAATGTAATTCCAAGTGTCCAAAAATATATCTGGCATCATAGTGAAAGAAGCCACTTTAAAAAATAGTTAATTCAAGGAGTTGATTTGATTAAATTCGACACCATTAGGACAAGCCCATGGCCTCGATCCATTAGCGTTCCGATTTGCTGTACGTTTACTACTCAAGTCCATCTACAAGGAACTGAAACACTAGTTACACAGATGAGTGGATCTCTTCATCCTATAACCTACATCACACTATACATTACATCAGAAAATGTTACAAGAATCATTTGGTGAAGGATCACATCTGACAATAGTAAAGGATAACAGATAAGAACGTCCACCTGTCTTACGCTATTGTACTACAATCTATTATTAATCTCGCATTCAGAAAATGATTAGGAGAGGCCACTTGTATGATCACCAATATGTGAAGTCTGTGTTATTGTAGTTCATTTTTTTAAAATTAATAATTATGATAATAATGTGCGCTTGTGCGCTCGTATGGAAAGGTAAGCTTGGATGTGAACGAAACTTGAGTTACTATTATTTTATCTCGATTTAATCTCATGTCAAATGGACAACGTGGCATATTTGATAATTGATCACAAAGATCCGTAAGAGACAAAGGTAATATTTTTCTTGAGCTTAGTAATGAAAACCAAGTATGCATTTAGATGTTTATTATGTTTTTGATATAAAAAATAATATTTTAAGCTTAGATCTATTGATTGAAAAAGGATATGATATTGAAATAACATATTATATATTCATGATAAGAACAAGACTTTAATCACTCATGTGAAAATGACTAAGAACATGATGTTGCTTCTACAATTGAATATAACAAAATAGGTTATTTGGGGACCAATTTGATGGAATCCGTTGGGTCGAAAAAAGAAAAGAAGACAAATAAATAAATGCAAAAACGACCCATCCCGTTAGTGAATGGGGAACGTTTATGCCACGTTAGTAGTGTCCCACTTCACACAGTTATATCGTGCATGTCCAACGCTTTTGTTTCCCACCACAAAGTGGACATTTCATGTGGCAGTCTAAACATGAACATCTATATTTATTGCATACGACATGACGTACTATTAACTGGCATTTTATATTTCACAAGTCATTTTATATTTCACCATAATAGCTTATGGGCATACAAGGCAATTAGGCAAAAGGTCACCCAAGCACTATAAATAACCCACAAACTCATTCGCACTCTTCACGTCTTCTATAATTCTCATAACCTTCACGGCTTTGGGCACTCAAACCTTTAATATTTTAAATTACTTAAATTATTCAGATTTTCAAGTCTAAAACAACTCTGAATGTCTTCCTCATATGCATTAGCTCTTCATTTGACTATAGCTTGGATGATTCTTTGATCCTGCCTTGCCTTTAGCATCGATTTCCAAATTTCTTTTTTTAGTGAAGGGGTTTAGCAAAGCCTAGCTCATAGAGGCTAGAATCAACGCCTCCCCTCAAGGTCAATATTTGAAATTGTCTCTTTCACTTCTCTTATTGAGCGTATAGTGTGTACTAACATATCTCCTATGCATAAATGAATCTCTTAATAAATGCTAGAAGTAGATGACTAATAGGTCTCTATCGACCCAATGGACCAAGGTAGTCACTTGAAGCCAAAGAAGGGACGAGCCACCATCAGAGGTTCATTAGGTGGTCTAGGCTCTGACCCACAATTGGAATTAGGCTAATGTATTGGAGGCACAACTTAGTGTTCGAGGTAAAAGCAACTATAAGTTCCGTAGGATCAGAGCTTCCCTTATAAAGCTCAAGGGTTGGCATTCTAAAACCTATTGGAATTGGTTCCTTTATAATGCTAATGAAGGCAGAACTGAAGTAAGAATTAAGTTCAGGATGCTTTGCCTTATCTCATGTTTAATATCCTCTGGCCTCTAGTTCATCTCAAAGAGCTAGACTTGTATATTATTAGAGAGTTTAGCTGATTGAGCGATTGATTCTCTCGGTCTCTCTACTTCTTGAAGGAGATATTGAGTGAATCGTGGGAGAAGTGATCTAGAGAATTATTTTCTAGAGGTAAATTAGTCACAAGGGGTATGACTTTATAATTATTTAAAAATATAATATATGTCATGATTATTGTTATATGTGAATATGGAACCATCACATGTTAAATATGTCATTAAAATGTAAAAGTTTATGCTCAACAAAACGATAAGCATTCATGTTCTGTGTTTATTTATTGTTTCTAAATTTACATATGTTAAATAAATTGACTATGTTAGACAAGTCGATCATTTTCTTTTATCCCTCCCCTAGCTATATTGTCGTCCCCATCTATTGGACCCATCCAACAACGGAGGTGTATCGGCCACCACCATACCCCCTTGGACCAACGATAGAATGACCCTTGTCACCCTCGCTAATGACGATGAGAGTCGATGGCTAGGACTATGATAAAAAATTTTTAAATGGTGAGAGTAAAATCATCTTTTCATGTACTTAGAGGTGCTCTATGAGAAATTATAAAACTTATATAATTTTTTTAAGAATTTATTAAATAATATATAGTTTTATTCTTAATTAGGCTATGTTAGACAGTTGATCCATTAAATCAGCCTTTTTAATGTGTCCGTCAACGATAAAATTGAGAAAAATTAAAAAATCCATCTCAATGAGTAGCATAAAATAAAATAATACTATAGGCTTTTTTTCCTTTAATGTTTAATAAAGAAAGTTTTCTACTTTTAAAACGATGATACAGATCAATTATCACAACGAACAAATGAAAATTACACCATCAATACCTTTTACAGAATAAAAAGAGTGATCACACCTAAAGAAACTTGATCAAAGACTTGGACAAATCACTAGGAGACTTATAGCCCCACGATATTATCCTTAATTACATTGTTACATAAGTATAGGTTCAATCAACAAAGACCTTATGCGATCCTCGATCACTCCATCGGGTTTCCCATATCCATCTCCATATTGGTATATGCATTGGGCCATTCGAGCAATATTGATGGCCATCATTTTCAGGTTTTCCTCAAAAGGCGAAGTGAAACTTCGATTTCCGTTTATTGCTCTCCAATTCCCCTTGATTAATCCCCTGATATGCCCACGAGCCGCGTCCTCCGATACACCGGTCTCATGCATGTAGCACTGGATAGATTTGGATACATCGCCTCTTTCAAGCTCGTCCTGCACAAAAACGACCGATGCAGAGAGGAGAAACTGTGTGAACTATTTATTACGTTCATTCCATGAACCAATGATTAAGTATGGAGCAATTCTCATACCGTGGAAGTACCCAAATCATCACAAAGTCGAAAAACCATGGATGCCCATCTTGCAATCTCAGGGCAGCTTTGGAAATCATCCAAGGCCTCCTGAGTTAAATCGTCACTGGTGCAATAAGCAAGAGTCAGTATTAGGGGACCCGATATCGATACTAGTGCGTTCCCCAAGTACTCTTCATGATTGGGTGTGTAGCCTTGGTGGTACCACCTTGCTTCCACCATGTATGCTTTGCATAGATCTGCCCACTGAATCCAAGGGTAGCACTGTTTATAAAGTGGAACTGCATGATTGACGATACACAAAAGAGGGGGGATGGGATCGATATGTTACTGCTTTTTTAAGGTGTGGAATTATATCCAGGCCCTTCTCTTTCATAACATTGTACGCCGTGACATTTGTAGTGTTGAAGAGGGCTAGAAAACATATCTTCATGTACTCTGGAAATTTGTCCATTGCATTAACATCCCATCTGCAGCATCCATCCGAGTAGATGTTATCACGAATCAAAGATTGTTGAAATAACATCTCCATGCATCACGTGGAGGAGTTCTTTACCTATCGACGGCATCCGTGAAAAGTTCGAGCTCATCCATCGTGCCGTAAACATCATACACATCATCTATTATTGTTGTCAGGCAGATTGCCTGTGTCTGCGCCTCCCTGAATCTTGCAAACTGTGGCTCAAAAGCCCAGCCAACCGTCCAGAAATAGTTCTCCATCAACCTGTCCCTGGAAAACGGAAGCCTTTGCGCGAGCCCAAGATTGCTCCACCATCTGATCGATAGCCATAAGTTTGTGCTGAAGTTTGCTGGTTCATAAACGAGGGCAGAATGCACAAGACATGATTCAAGTAAAGCAAGCTTAAAATACCTCGACACTTCTCTGAGTTCCCTCTGATTTATGATCTGAACCCTGTTGAAGTCCAACTTAGCCAATTCAAGCAGGACAGGGTTCATCTTCGCTTCCCATTGGGATGCTTCTATGAACCACCTGGTCTGTAACCTCGGCATCCTCCAGTTCAATGGAAGCTCCAAGGCATGGGCTACGTGCTCCCTGAGATGAGGCTCAAGTGATCCCTCCATGAGGCTCTTGAGCTGTTTACTTGTGAAGTTCGTAGCTTCTTCCAGCACGTGCTCTCCTTCCTTTGCAAGATGGGAAGCCTCGTACAAGCTCACCAATCCTTCAGTCTGGTGGCGAAGGCTGGCTTTCAAGTTTCCCTCCTCGTCCATAAATCGGTAGAATACACCT